CGAGATAGAAAGAGAGAAAAGAGAGGCAGAGAAGAGACAAGAGCGAAAGAAAGAGAGAAATAAAGAGAGAGGCGCGGCGAGATTGAGCGAGAGAGACAGGGAGAGCGAGCGATAAAAAGAGAGCGAGAGAAAGAGAGAGAGATAGAGAGAGAGGGGGGCAGAGAGAGAGACAGAGCGAGAGAGAAAGAGAGAAATAAAGAGAGAGCGCGCGCGATGAGAGAAAGAGAGGCGAGAGAGAGAGAGAGAGAGAGAGAGAAATAGAGAGAGAGAGGCAGTGAGAGAGACAGAGCGAGAGAGACAGAAATAAAGAGAGAGCGCGCGCGCGAGAGAGAGAGAGAGAGGGAGAGAGAGAGAGAGAGAGAGAGAGAGAGGCAGAGAGAGTAACAGAGCGAGAGCGAGAGAGAGAGGGAGATAGAAATAAAGAGAGAGAGACACACACACACGCGCACACAGAGAGAGAGCATGCTATACCACACAGAGCTGCATCTATGAGCTGACTACATACTATACGTTATCTGCAAACCGAAGAAAATCTGAATCTAAAAGTCATCTATGATATTATCGAACAAATTCTGCAACAGGACCCGCATGCTAAGGAGAGAAATGACCATTCCTGGTCACATCGTCTACACGAATACAGACTATATTCGGACGGACTACACCTCTCACGTCTAGTTATACATATCACCAGTATATATAGTTATATAGGTATAGTTATATGGTATATATAGCTATATAGGTTTAGTTATATAGTATATATATAGCTATCGATAGCATCAGCAGCTCGTAAAGCTTAAGCAACGACAGCGCACTCATGGGAACTCAAATATGAGAACGTGAACAAGTTAGTGAAGTAAAGACGTAACGCTAGTATAAGTAAGAACTCACCAAGATGCTTGCTTCCTCAGTCCAGTCGACCAGGTGATCTGCAAGTGGGCATGCCTTCTGCGCTCTCCGCGGCTCCTTATATACGAGAACCGACGCGCTCCGGCCCACTAACGTGACGTCGGCAGCCCTAATTCGAGTTCACAGTCGACGACGACGATTAGCGAGATAGATATTCATTCGTTCGGCGTCGTTTGTCTTTGGATATAAGACGCGGGTTTTTTAATTGTGCGGAACTACCGCACGCTGTTACCGTAAAGTCTCGGCCAACAACCGCGCGCGACATCGCTATAATTCTACACGGGTAGTCGCGATGATGCGCGCGCGTGGCGCTGTCGAACGAGCGCAGTACGGTAGGATCGTCTGTGCGAAAGTTTCGCAAGATGGCGGTCGGCGTAACTCGGTTCGTGATTGGTCGGCCCGCGCCGCGCGCGGGAAGTATGTCACCGTTCTTAATGACACTCTCGTCGGTCGTCTGCGTGCGCTCATTATGTCGCCGACGATGTCGACGCGACACAATGCCGTCGCGCGCGGTGACGAGTAATGACGTGCTGCCTGCGGGCGTCTGTGTGACCGACGGGGAGGCGCAGAGCGATGTCATGAATCACGCACGCTGATTTGCTCGGTCGCTCGCTCGCGTCGTGTTCGTGTGTTTGCCGCATTTCTTTCTCTCTCGCGGGTAATTGATGAGTTTTACTTGTCTGATGAGCTTAATGACTGACCGCCTTACCCACTTACGTGGCACAGCACGCCGCTATAGTAGCAACATAGTACGCAGCAGTATAGTATAGTAGACATGTATAATGTCTATGTAACCGCAGCTATGCGCACGGGGCATGTCTATGTATGTAACCACAGTTATCACTGGAACGTCTATGTGTCAGTGTGGTGGCAGAGTAAGCGGGAAAAACCTCGCCTTGTGGCTCATGTAGTTATAGCATAAGAACATAGAGAAGGTGCGAGAGAGAGTTGTCTGTGTGTGCGTGTGCGTGTGCGTGCGCGCGCGTGTGCGTGTGCGCGCGTGGTGTATATTCATACACATATGTCATACTACGTGAGCCTTGGTAACGCGTGAACAACAGCAGCTGATTTTTTGAGCGTCATTGTCATACATACATCGCCTCATAGCAACCAGCCATAGCAACCAGCAAAGCGATCACGGAGCAGTGTACCGGAGTCAAACTGATGTATTGCGTGTAATGCTCAGTTTACGCTGGACAACGTTTATCGCAGACTATAATGAACGCAATATTGTGTCAGCGCACGAACGCTGCTTGTAAAACAAATCGAACAAAAAAGCACGAACGGCAAGCGATGCAGTTTTCATAGTTCACGTGTTATATTGTACATGAATAACGAAACTATAGTCATTAAATTAGAGGTGTTAGTAAAAAAAGCGATGCCTACAGATGCCACACTTGCAGACCGAGTTTTTTTGGGAGAGGGGAGTCGGCCTCCGCGGCTAGAGCCAACGGAGACGTTATTGTTCACTTACAAGTAATAATTGTAATCGGTACTGAGAAAAATTTCCGATATGAAAGTTCCGCCTCTCGAATTGCGTCCCACACCGTTGGGCGAGGAGCACAAAACGCGAGATAAATGCGTCTCATTTCATTTTTTTCAAATAAAACAAAACAAAAAATAATGGAAAAAATATTCCAATGCAGCGCCTGATTCTGATAGAAGCAAACGATCTTTGGTTGCTGGGGAGATGTTCGTCGATGTTCGGTTTACTGTCCGTTGCCTTTATGTCCGTGTCTTGTATCTACATCGTGGACATAGTGTCTACCAGTCCTTGGCGTTGTAGCCGCTGCTGCTACCGTATCCCTCTCCGGCGTTGTAACCGTAACGGGGAGAGTCGTAGTTGATGCCGACTCTACCGGCATCGTAAGCGGGCTGCTGATCGTATGAGGTGCCGACAGCGTGGACTCCCGTGGCGTGAACGCCGCTACCGATTCCAACTCCGTGGACGGCTCCAATACCGACTCCAGCTCCGTGGACGGATCCAAGACCGATTCGAGCTCCGCGGACGGATCCAAGACCGAGTCCAGCTCCGCGGGCGGATCCAAGACCGAGTCCAGCTCCGCGGACGGATCCAAGACCGAGTCCAGCTCCGCGGGCGGATCCAAGACCGAGTCCAGCTCCGCCGATAGCTCCAGATCCAAGACCCACTGCTCCGCCTCCGATGTTCGCGGCTCCGAGGTTGATTCCACCGAGGGATCCGGCGTTGCTTCCGGCGATTCCGCTAGCAGACGCGTCACCGGCGCCTCCGCCGACGACGGCGGTCAGAGGTCCGAGCTGCACGCGTGGGGCGGCAACGTTGACGGCCTGGATGCCGGAGTAGGGCAGGTTCCTCGCGTATCCGTATGCGGCTCCGGCAGATCCGGCTCCAGCGCCGGTGGCGGCCTGCTGGAACTGAGCCTGCGCCTCCTGGTTGGCACGGCGGGAGGCCTGGCGGGCCGAGGCGGCGGTACCGCTGCCGGAGGCAGCACGGTCCGCAGAGGCAGCGTGCCACTGACGGGCGAAGCCAGCTCCGTACTTCTGTCCGACGACCCCCGGAGCGGATCTCGGCTCGGTGCCGGACGGGGCGTGGGCGGCGGCGCGATCGCGGGCGCCCTCGAAGTTGAAAGCTCCGGTTCCGACGAACTCATCGGAGGCCTCGAAGCTGATGGCATTGCCGAGTCCGATCCTGTTGCCCCCGAGGGAGGTGTAGCGGCCGGAGACGGCGACTTGGCCGACACCGTGACGTCCTCCCTGTCCGACGAGACCACCGAAGCCAGCCAGAGAGCCACCGCGTCTTCCGCCCCGGTTAATTCTGCCGAGGCCGCCGACGAGAGCGCCTCCGCGTCTTCCGCCCACGTTAATTCTGCCGAGGCCGCCGACGAGAGCGCCTCCGCGTCTTCCGCCCACGTTAATTCTGCCGAGGCCGCCGACGAGAGCGCCTCCG